GAGGTTGCTGTGAGCTATGATGCCACAGCACTCTACCCAGGGGGACAGCTTGAGGCTCTGTCTCAAAAAAAAAAAAATACTAAGATAGATCTGCATGTGCTGGTATGGAAAGGTCACTAATACATTTAATGGGGGAAAAACGCAAATCACTGAACACAGTGTACAGCAAAAAGCTTTGTACAATTATATATATCTGTACAAGATATATAGATGCATTAAAAATTTTTTGAGGGATGATAAGAAACTTTTAGCAATAGAAAGGAAGAATTTTATTTTTATAGACTCTAAATTGTTTAATCACTTGTATGCATTATTTCTATTTTTGTGAAATGTCAACAAATGTGTTTATGCTTGTCTGCTAATAAATGTATGCAAAGCAGAAACAAATTAACTGCATTTCAGTCAGTGAGATCTTCTTTTTCGTACATTATTAAATTTAAAAAGCCACCCTAATCAATGTTAAAAAACACAAAATACATTTTCAGAATTTGATAATTTTCATCTGTGATAGCATCTATATCCCTCAATCCATAGCCATTTAAGCTAAAAATTTATATAATGGCAGAGATTTAATAAACAATATGTAGGGCATCTGACATACATATGAAATGAATTAGCAAACATAAAAATGTTTTTGTAAAATCTATACATGCCTTTCAATTATGAAAGAAGTTATAATTATTGCATACATGAAGCATTCTTTCCAAACAGAATGTCCTCTGTTTAATGAATAACAAGAAATCTTTTTTTTTTTTTCCAGTTTTTGGTGGGGCCAGGTTTGAACCCACCACCTCCAGTATATGGGGCCGACGCCCTACTCCTTTGAGCCACAGGCACCGCCCCAACAAGAAATCTTTTAATAAGAGTAGATGAAATAATACTTTTAGAGTGTCAATACAGATTTTTTAAAACAAGTCTTTAGAAAACAAAATAAAGAATAAAGTTTTCAGAGTTTGTGTGTGACTTTATCTATTATGTCACTGGGATTCCCTTGCCAAGAAGACAGTAGTCTGACAAGCAAAGAGGAAACTTGTTCAATTATAAGTTACAAAAAATACCTGCTTCGTATTAGGCCACCATCACAAGTTGGTAGAATTGTGATCTAAAATAAAATCTTTCCTGGAAACTCTAAACTGAATAGCTCAGAGGTAACCTACTTTTTATACTGATCACTTTATTAGTGAAACAGGGATATATCGAAAAAACAGGGTACCCTAGGGGTTGCAAATTACTAACAATTCTTCCAAGCTAATTTAACTCTCACATAGATTTTGGGACCTAAGTCTTTTGGGGTTGACAATTGGTTCAGCTCACTTCATGGAGTGAAGTTCTAAAAATTGGATTGTTCATGGATTGTTCTAAAAATACAAAAATGAATAAAACAAAATGGTCTTAGGCTCAAAGAACTAAACAGATTTATGGGGGAGTTGTGTCAATGTCTACAATAAAATGTTATCATTTTAACATTCCAATAATAAATTCTGAAGGACAAATGAGGCAATGCTGAGAGAGCACCTGAGGTCAAAGCCTAGTATTTCAAAATATATTTTTTGTATTTTTAGTTGGTGATATTGACTTGAAATCTATCTAATTCACTATTAGGAAAACTATATGCATCTAACTATACATAACTAATTATTAACTGAATCTCTGGTATTTTCTGGTGTTCTTATTTTACTATCTAAAGAACATTTTTTTAAAAATTTAGTTTTTAAATAAAACACTCAATTATTATTTCAGGATATTCTGTTCCCTGAGATCTAATAACCACTTACAACACTTCAACAGATTGTAAGAGTCAACAATATAAATGTTATAGTAACAAGAATAAAATAAAATAATAAACCTGGCTGATCCATGTGATGTAGCTGTTAAAAAATACTAAGGTAGGCTCGGTGCCTGTGGCTCAAGTGGCTAAGGTGCCAGCCACATACACCTAAGGTGCGGGTTCGAATCCAGCCCTGGCCCACCAAACAACAATGATGGCTGCAACCAAGAATCCTGGCTACAGGGTATGGTCCGTCTGGGGGATATAGAGGAGGCTTAAATTAAATTCACAATGTAAAAACCTGTTTTGTTCAGTAGTTAAACTAGAATTAAAATGTCCAACTAATAACTTGGTACCTAAATTACAGGAAAGAACCATCTGCACAATTAGAAAACATACTGCTTTGGTTGGCTACTGTTCTTTCAAGAAACACTTTTTAAAAAGAAGAATGCCATGAATATAGCAGGTGCTCAATAACTGCTTACTGAAAGGCTAATTATCCTTGCACTTCCATAATAATATTCAAATAAATAGTTTTCAAAGGTTATTACTTCTTTACCTCTGATTTTCTACTATGCTGTATGTTGCATACAGCATGGTTCCAAGTCCCAGATGGATATACAGATATATGTGTCTGTGTGTATATACATATGTACATGCAAACATCTCATGTCATTTTGGCCTCTACAGACCTCGGTTTCTCATTTGTAAAATGTTGGAATTGCATTATATCTCCAGTAAGGGAAAAGAGCTAGATCTGAACCAACTTTCAAATTTTATGACTGAGAAAACTGGCACCTATTTTCCAGTAAGGATAATAAAAACAGTCATAACTGAAAACCTAAAGCTCTATAGGAAACACACACATACATTCATGAAAAGAGAGGTAAGCAGGATGCAGAGACAAAAGCACTTGACACAAAATCCTGAGTTCTAGTTACTCTCCATTCTACCACTCAGAGTCAATGTCAAGTTTCAAGTCACCAGCAATCTGTATCCTCTAAAACAAAGAATAATACCTCCCCTGCCTGTTAACAAATAATGCAATGTGAAGAATGTGGTAAGCTCAAAAGTACCAGGCAAAGATGAAGCATATCATTATCAGTTCATTTAAGTGCCTGAGATAAGCCAGTAAAATTCCTTGGTTGACAGATAACGGAAAGCTGAGGCAAAAGCCTTTGTCAAGTTACATGCCTCTTCAATACAGTGTTTTGCTGCTTCCTAAAAAATATAACGCGTACTTCATAAAGATAGGTAGGTCAGTAAGCTTCCACAAAACAGTGCGTTTGACTTCAGCCTCTGTGCCTAGTCCCTCAGGTCATAGTCCACTTTTTTTCAGACAATTTAGAATAGGATTTCAGAATCATTTTAAAATTGGAAGGGACCTCATTCTTCCAGTCTCTCATTTTATCAGATGAGGAAACTGAGGTCCAATGAGGTGTAAGGGGATTACCTCAGGTCGTATTACCAGCAGCTAAGTTAAGAATCTAGGCCTCCTAATACTTAGCCCAAACCCCTTGACATTAGAGTGAAGAGCAAAATGGGAGTTAGATCAATTCCTTCTAGATTTCTGGCAATTTAAATTCTAATTTCATACTCAAAAAAGTTGGAAAATTCAGGGGAAAAAACATAAAAGACCATTTTCATCCTCTGTACTACTACTATTTGGGTATACATCCTACTTCTCTAAGTATTTTACAAAAGTGTGATCATTTTAGACATGCTCTTCTATATTATCTAACAAAATACCTTAGTGACTCACATTAAACATTTTCCTAGGCTTGGAGCCTATAGCTCAACCGGCTAAGGCACCAGCCACGTACACCTAAGGTGGCGGGTTCGAATCCCCAGCCCAGACCCGCCAAACAACAATGACGGCTGCAACCAAAAAATGGCCGGCGCTGTGGCGGGCGCCTGTGGTCCCAGCTACTTGGGAGGCTGAGGCAGGAGACTCGCTTGAGCCCAGGAGTTGGAGGTTGCTGTGAGCTGTAATGCCATGGCACTCTACCCAGGGGGACAGCTTGAGGCTCTGTCTCAAAAAAAAAAAAACAAAAAAACATTTTCCTATATAATTTAGATTTTTTAATGGTTACAATGAATATGGTATAAAAATCAAAGACATCTCCAGTTATTTCCTTACTAGTTTTATAAGATGAAGTTTTGACCTTTTCTACTATCATTAAATTTCATTCTTTTACATTGTTAGGTTTCTGGCCATTTATATTACTGGTATTTAAGAAAGTACCCAAGTAGATATGTGCATTACCAAGAAAGTCATAGGATATTTAAAGAAATGAAGGTTTGGGACAGTGAGCAAGTTCTAATTAATCATGCTCACTTTTTAGGTTACCTTCGTAAGACATTTCAAAGGCACAGCAACATGGAATGAACCAACACCTTTAATTAAGATCATACACAGCATGATACATCTCTTTGAGGGTCTCACTTCACAATGGGGATCCATTGGCTTCCCCATGAAGTTCAAGGTTCATATAGTACTGATATTGACTTTGTGCCTCATATTTAGACAGTGTCTCCTGTCTGTACTTTTCAGACACATCAACAATTAGCAAAGAGCCACAGATTATTTATAAAAATAGTATTAACCAGATTCTCTTTTACGATGGATAGATGGTCCCAAAATACTAAGACTGAACCCTATAATGTGGGGCAACCAAACAGAAAATAGACCAAGGATTCAGAAAATGCTAAAAATCTTTTAAATTTAATAGCACTTATTTTGGTTTTGCTGCCCCCCTAATAGGAATTCTTTCTAGAATGACCAAAAATTAGTAAAATATCTAACTGAACTGACCCTTCCTTGCATATGGATAATTAAAATTATACCGATGATCAAGATATTCCGGAAACCACCCAAGCTTCCTCTTTAATTCCAATGACTACCAATTTTGTGTATCAGTGAAATAATATTAGACCTTATTTAGAAAAAGGCTACACAAATCACTATGTTCATTGTTTACTATATGCCATGCTTCCTGTTAGATTTTACATACACCATTTCATTTATTCTGCACAACAGTCTTTCAGAGGAGGAATTTTAACCCTAGACTGGATGAAGAAAAAGTATTCTCTAAGTACACCAAGATAGTGACAAGCCAAGATGCAAATCTAGGACTGTCAACCTCTAAGCTGAAATCTTTAGAACTATACTATACTATTGTTTAAAAATAAGTACAAGCAGCTCAGTAGACTCCACAGCTTCCTATTTTTTCAGTGCAATTTGCAGATAATCTAAAACTGCCTTTTATTATATCCTTAGTCAAAAAATTTCACTGGGGCCTTCCCACTGCCTAGGAAGAACATTTCCCTGAGCCAACTCTTCTTTATCCCTCATGTCTCAACTGAAATGCTATTTCCTCAGAAAGAACTGTCTTGACTTTGTAATCTAAATTAGGCCTCCCTATTATTATTCATTCAAAGTACCCTTCTTACCCTTTCTGGCTCTTTTCGTAACCTGGGCGCTGATTTATTTAAAGTTCCATTAAGATACAGACCATGTCTGATTTTTTCACCAAACTATATCCAGCTCACTTCCAGCCCTGTGTACCCAAAGAATGGCATCATGCCTGTCAAACAGAGGTGCTCTTTTGCTGAATGTATGAATGGAATGAAAGAACTTAAGCTTAGGAATCAAGAACTCCCATAATCTGGCCATCCTGTACCTGCTCAATCACATTTATCTAGGTCAATTCACTGCTAAGGGTTCTAGTTCTGAGACTGTAAACCCTACCTAGATTTCACTGTTCAGCATAAAACCCGCCTCTGCTAAAGGCCCCAGTCCAGACATTATCAGTCTCCTCACTCCTTCCATTAGTCTCCATAGCACTTGTTCACCATCCTGCTAATCTGGCCTTTCCCATAAACAGCTTTGCAAGGTTAACTTACTGTTGATGCAAGTACATCTTAGGTCTCCAGTTAGACCTGCACTGTCCAATAAAGTGGGCTTATGTGGCCATTGTGTATGACATAAATCAATCCGAATTAAATAAAATCTAAAAGTCAGTTCCTTATTTGCATTAGGTACATTTCAAGTGTTCAATAACTACTCAGGGCTAATGGCTAACATACTGAACAGGACAGATATAGAAAATTTCCATCACCACAGAAATTTCTGAGCATCATACAGTGAAGATGGTACCCACAACACCTCATTAACACTGAGAGTCCAATAAGTACTTAGTAGATGAATAAAAAACAAGTTGCTTGATAAAAGAACTTTAATATGGCCCTAATTATATTTTAAACAGTTGTCTTCCACATTAGCACAGGGTCTATACATTAAGTTAATGCCTGTCCCCAAGTCAAGCCTTTAGTTTTAGAGAATATAAGACAATTCTAACAGCACACCATATAAACAACACTCGTATGTCATTTCCAGTTTATAAAGTGCTTCTCATTCGGCCAATATATTTTTGATGAGGAGAGATTCAGAGATTCGTGTTGAGTCTAACATTTATCTAGTGGCAAGTAAGTGCCCACTGTGATTTTCCTCACTTCTCATCAGTCTCACAAACTCAGGATGAAGCTGAGGCTGAGAAGGGTACCTATTCACATTGAACAGGAACAAAACACATCTCATTCACTGTATGTATCTTCAACTCCTTCTGGCTAGATATTTCTACATACATAAAGTCAATGTACATGTTTAACAGAATAGATGCTGGCTAATAAAATCACTTGTGTTTGGAGAAAAGAGGAGAAAAAATTAAAAATAAAAAACTTATCGTACTGAAAGTGTAATTAGATACAGTAAAATTAGACATTTACTTTAAAGATACTGCCTTTTTCCCCTTTTAATTAGGAAAAAACTTTATTTTGGGAGTAAAAGCACTAGATTAGGAGATGTATGGACAATTTTGAAAAGCCCAAATTATAAACATTGTAAAAGATGCATAGTAATGTTACTGAAGATAGTTTTACAATGTGGAATATATACTAAAATACAGCTGATGACTAATACTAAATAATAGTGAAGCCATTTAGATGTTTCAGACCTATATAACACATCACTTAAAATTATTTCAATGCCCACCTTAATCTCAAATTTACATCCTGAATGATCCAAATGCTTATGAATAATTATAAATTATACATAAAAAGAAAATGTATTAATGTGATTTCACAGTTAAAAAAAAAAAGATCAAAGGAGTGGCGTTAAAGTCCTTTAAGAGTTCTGATAAGTGTCATCCAGAACTGGGACATGTTCCAAACTGCACCATGTCAACCTGCCAAGCCAATGAACATTCAATCTTAGTTTCTTCAAATATGAAATAATGTTGCTCTTTCTTTAGATGATCACTGCATTTTTATTAGACTGCTAACCTCTGCTATAATTTCTTTTAGAAAAATAACACCCATGATGAAAAAACAGGCCCTTCATTTGTCCAACTTTTTTTGAGGATGTCTCTTATTTGGACTAAGGCTCCCATTCTCAAAAGAGAACTGATACACAAGGCATCAAAGCATTCTTTAGAAGGCCCAGCAACCACTGTGGATACTGCCAGGAAATCATTCCAAACACTCTCATTTTGAAAAAGGCAAGCAGTCATAAGGGAAGGGAAGTGGATGCTGTCAGAAGTGGCAGGTGTGTTTTGAGATCAGCAGTGTTGTGGTTTTTAATGAGGCACAGTCGCAGGTCTCCCATTGGGTACCACAAGGGAGCAAGATACGTGAGGGCTTCTTTTATAATCATTACCTTGGAGGAAGAAAACACTTTAAAATATAGGTCTGGCAACTCTTTTAGGCAGAAAAGCTGAAGGGGTTAGAATGCATTAAAAAAATTATTCATGTGTTCCAATCCAAAGAAGAAAATATTAAAAATAAACTCCAAAAACAATCAGATAAAGTGAAAATGATGCAAAACTGGATTCCATGTTTCTTTCCTTTGGGGAGGCGCAATGGGAAAGGAGTTACATTCTTTCTTCTTCCTTACTCCCTTTCTATGATGTAGATCGATCTCTCTCTCTCTCTTTCTCGCTTCTTTTTCACTAGTTACATAAAAGCAGAAGTGTCTGTCAAAATAGAGATCCTTATGGTATCTTTCCAGACTAAAAAGGAAAGTAAGGAGTTAGAGATTACATGTGTCAGTCCCATCGTGTTCTGTTGAAGAGGGCAGCAGTGTTGGGATAAAAGTAAGTTTATATGCTCCCTGTAACTATGAATCAGCTTATGCTATAAAGTGTCGAGTTTTCATATGCTTTATCCCAGACCTCACGCTGTGCCCACAGAAGCTTCTCTCGAGAACGCTTTTCACCTTCAAAACACAAGTGTTTCATCATTGTCACTTTACAATCGTGTAACGAGTGAAAAAAAAGTCAAAGCTCAAACTACCTTTTGATAGTAAACGGAAGAGTTTTGGCCCATTATGAGGATCGTGTCACCCCCTTCTTGCCATCTTCCTAGATGAATCTCAAGAGTTGAGTTTCCAAAGCATACAGACTCACCGTGTTGTGTGTGCCCACGGACCTTAAGCAGATGTCGGCTTTGGACCTATGGAGTTAAGTCTTTGGAGTTTGGTGAACTCCTTGGAAAGGGTAGGGCGGGAGAGCGAAACAAAGTCGCTCTCATTTGAATTTCCGAGGTCACTTCTAGGTACCCGCCCGCGAGCGTGTCCCGGTAGCAGAAAGCCGGCCCTGCGGCGGCAGACAACGGTCCGCCCCGACCTCTCTCTGCCTCCGCCGGAGAAGGGCGCGTGGGCCAGGACCCGCGGTCAGCCCGCCGCCCGAGGTCGGCGCGAGGCTCGGGCCCGCCCTCGTCCACCCCCGAAGACCCCCGGAGGGGGCTGAGGCTCGCGACTCACATGTGCGGGTTCCTCCTGAAGGCGTTGGTGATGTCCTTCACCACCCGCTGCACCAGCACCGCCACCTCCTCGCTGGTCTCGGCCATGTTGGCGGCGGCCGCGGCGGCTCGGGCGCGCCGCCGGGAGAGCCGGGAGCCTGCGGGAGTTCCGCGGGGAGCGCGCGCGCGTGTGCGCCGGTTTGGCCGCGCCCCACCCGCGATGGCCGCCGAGCACTTCCGGGTCAGCCCGCGCCTGGCGGGACTGGGTGCCCACCCGGGTCGGCGGCAACCTGGCGGGTCCCTGGGTTTCCCTCGGCTCCGGTACAGGGTCTCTCAGCGTCGGAGAAGATGCTGCAGGTGCATTGGAAAAGTTACTTGAGGCCGCTGATTTTCTTATTTAATTTTTAGTCTATTCGGAACCGAGTGCCAACACTTGCCCAAGCCCCCTAGGCAGGTTCCCGGGAATTCCAGGAGGAAAGTTGAATCGGTGGTGCAGGCCTCTTGAACAGTTTGTCCCTTAGCGTTTTGAGAACTTGTTCGATTTCTTTTCCCAGCCAGAGGGATGAGGAGGTCCGGAGACGTCACAGCGGAGTGAGTCCCTATTTGACCGGGTTGGTGACCTCCTTTTTTAACTGTGCCAGTGTTTGCCTCTAAAATTAAAAGCAGCCCTTAAAAAAAAAAAAAATTAAACATTTTAAATGAATTCACCAAGGAAGGCAAATAAAAGTGAAGGAAAAGTTATTTGCAGTCTGGCTGTAGGAAACAAGTGAAACGCGTTTGCACAGCGTTTGGTGGCCTTCAGTTTTGGAGTTAAAAATATCCAGGCCCTGACCAAATTTACTCATAGTCGCTATTTATGTTGCTACAAATAATTTTTGTGTGTAAAACGAGATGCCTAGTCCATTCAGATTTTGAAATGCTTGTAATTCAAATTTTCATATGTGGGGGGGTTGCCCACTGTGATAGAAAAATCTTGCTACAGATACTTCTTAATCCCTTGAAAAGGTATCTTTTAAAAACTGTTTTTAAACGCATCCTCACAGTGTGTTTAATGTGAACATACGTGGAGCCTTTAAAGATAGGGTTTATGATTATGAATTTAAAACCACTGGGGGTGTAAAATGAATGAAACGAAAAATATAAATTAAAATATGTTAACTATGCCAGTGGTCGATATTCCCTGTGAGTTTATTTATAAAGGCTGGACATTAACCTGGTTTTAAAAGAAGTGAAAGAAATAGTAAAAATAGGAGAAAAGAAGTGAGAAGTTTCACAAAATTACGGAAAGATGAGATAGGTTTAAGAAGAATTAGTAAAATCAAATCTTACCCCTGTCAAGGTCTGGAATGAAGCAGTGAAATGAGTGGAATGTGTGTGTTTAGATTCCAAAGCCAAGGACAACTTTGAATATCCTATTTATCTTAAGAATTTGATGGCTAGGCGCCTGTGGCTAAAATGGCGAAGGCGCCAGCCACATACACCTAAGGTGGCTGGTTCAAATCCAGCCCGGGCCTGCCAAAACAACAATGACGGCTACAACCAAAAAAATAGCCGGGCGTTGTGGCGGGCGCCTGTGGTCCCAGCTACTTGGAAGGCTTAGGCAGGAGACTCGCTTGAGCCCAGGAGTTGGAGGTTGCTGTGAACTGTAACGCCACAGCACTCTACCCAGGGGGACAGCTTGAGGCCCTGTCTCAAAAAAAAAAAAAAAGAATTTGATAATGGTTCTCCAATGGTTTAAGTGGTAAGTCTTCTTCCTCTTTCAACCTAATGACAATGGAAAATAAATCTTGACTTTTGGGGACAGAGATCAAAGCACCACACTGAGGAGGGGGATCAGGGTGCCACAAAGAATACATTAAAAAGTTTTAAAAAGTAAGTTTTTTTTTTTACTTTAAAGATTAGTGTGATTTTTTTTCTTTTGTATTTCATGCTAATGTATTTATGTTTAACTGGAAAAAACCCAAACTGTCCCCAGATCTTGATGTAAAATTGATACTGCCAAAAGATAATTCCTCTGTGACTCTCTGTGTGCCCTCTCCACATATACACACTCACTTTGTACTCATTTGAGAGGTGTACATTATATCTCATGTTTTTTCTAAGAGTACATAAAATTATTTTACCTGATCATTAAGATTCTACTATACTTAACATTTGAATTTTTTTTTAGAATTGGAACATGGTAGAACTCTGAGCCAACTCCCTAATTTTACAGATACAGAAACTGAGGTCCAAAGATTTGAAATTCTTGTGTCTTTAGTAATACATATGCCAAGAATCGAGTATGATAAATTTGGCATGATTTTGTTCAAGGACTAAAAGATTGATGTTGAGGGACCTGCAAAACACATTTATCGGTAATAATGAGATAGAGTAAATAGCTTAAATCCCCAATGATAGGGGATTGGTTAAATTATGATAAATTTATATGATAAAACACTATTTTAGCCATTTAAAAATCATACCAAGAAGAATGTGTACCAAAGTGTTAGGAGAGGATATAGTCATGGGAGAATTTTACTTTCTAAATAAGCAAACAGCAAATATAATTTTTGAAATTTAAGAAAAATTTTTAAGAGTATGTATTAATAAAGAGATGATATATTTGCTATTTAGCCAACTATCTTTTGTGTATATTAGTTTTCTTTAAGATGTATTGATTTTTTTTTTTTTTTTTTTTAAAGATAGGGTCTGGCCCTGTTGTCAGAGGCCAGAGTACAATGGCATCATCATTATTCACTGCTGCCTCAACTCCTGGGCTCAAGCTGCCCATCCTCCTGTCTCAGCCAGCCGAGTGGCTGGGACTACAGGCGTGTCCCACTATACCCAACTAATTTTTAATATTTTTTGTAGAGAGGGATCTTGCTGTGTTGCTCAGGCTGCTCTTTAACTCCTGGCCTTAAGCAGTCTTCCCTACTCAGCCTCTCACTAGGATTACAGGCACAAGCCACTATACCCAGCCAACATTGACTGATTTTTTTTTTAAATGACCATGCCTATCTATCATCATTTACATGGTTGTGAATATATTTTATCTATCCTCCCACTCACCCCTAAATTATGCTTTTCATATTTTAGAATACTACTTGATGATAAGGAAAAATGTAGATATATAACAACAAAAACAGATACCAAAATAGTGTACAATACAATCCTAATTTTGTATATGCAGTGTGAATTGTTCATGAATATTACACATACATAAAATAGACTGAGAAGATATAAACTAAAATGTTATATTTGTATGCTACAATTACTGAAGATAATTAAGACCTACAAATATGTGTTCATTATACTTTCCTGGACATTCCAAACTTTCTGCAATGGAAAATCTAATATCTGCATTGAGGGCCCTGGAGGGAAAGAGGGGGCCAAGGTGGTTTTAATGACTTTTGTGAAGAAATAGAAATAACTTTGTAATCTTTTCCAGCTTTGCCCTGGACTATTCTACATGTATTACTATGGCATGTGTTTATATACTCCATTTATTTTTATTTGAAGTCTTATTTTCTAAGGACATTATTCAAGATAGAATTAAATTAGCACTGTTCTTACGTTGATACTAGCTATTATTACAAAAATAACAAACTTATTTTCTCCATTAAAAAATTAAATGACCAATTTTAAATACTTTCTTATAATATTGCCATCGTGATATTTTGTAGTATGCCAGACCTCAGCCCTATCCACTATCCTAAAATTTAAAATCTAAGAACTTATTAGTAAAGAAATAGGGGAATAAAATAATATTAACAAGCCACAATATTGAAGTCTTTTATGAATTCTTAAGAAAACTCAATGGTCATAGCATCCATCATAAAAATTTTTATTAAAGATTATTTCAAGAAAAGGCATAGAAATTAATAAATTTTCTTTAAAAGACTTGTACATTAAACCTAGGGGCATTTGGTATATGTTTTGCCTTGATGTATTGGTTTATTTCTCCAAATACAAGATTTACTATATATTTAAGAACTATATTAAAATATAAAATCACTCATGAGTGCTAATGTCATCTATTATTGTATTTAGTTGATACTTGTAGTACTTCTTTATTCCAATTGTTGGACTAGCATCTTTAAACTGTAAAGCACTATACAAATTATTATTTATGAATAACGAAAGCATCATACTAGTAAATCAGCATTAAAGCAATGGTAAACAAAGGCTAAGCTTAATACTTTCAATATGAAAAGAGAATTATTATACTGAAATCAGAATTAATCTTAAAGGATGAACTTTTTTTAACCTGACAAGGTCAGTGAATGTTATTTGATAATGAAGATGACCTTAAATGACCATTTTATGCTAATGTTAGAATTCATGAAGGTACTGGTTACATAAATGGTTTTGTTGCTGATATCTTATTTATGTTGTATTTGATAGTTCCAGAACAGCCTTTGCCTTTGCCTTGTTCTTCCTTCCTTCCACAGAGGCCCAGGAGACACATGATGTAATGTTTAGAAAAGAATAGGAGAAAATGTTTAGAGAGAAAAAGAGCCAATCTAGGACCTGCATAAGGAAACAGCTAAGGAGAAGGGTATCTCTCCACCAATGCAGTGTATGTCTCTTACGTACGTTACTGAAGATGTCAAACTGTCATAGGAATTTTCTTACCAACGTGCCTTTTAGTGTGACTAAATAAAAGAGCTACCCAAATGCAAGTACAGCCTTAGGGATTTTTTTTTCTGCTTTATGTTTTACTTATTTTTCAGGGTAACTATGATAGATATCCATTCTCCTGTCTCAGCCAGCTCAGTGGCTGAGGGTTGAAAATTAAGAAGAGTAATAGGAGCTCCATTTTGACTACAAAACAAGTTTATTCTGTCTAAAAGTAAGACAGGGCTATACCTCCTGCTCTTTCATCTCCCTTCTAAAGTTAATGTTTCAATTCAGAAATTATATAATAAAGATATACCTTATTTCTCAGTTTATTTCTGTTTGTTTTAAGCCACTTCTGAGACTCATGAAAATTAATATCAGGTCAAAATTACCCCTAGGAAATAATGAACTTTCTTTGTTAAATGTTGATGCAGTGTATATTTATATTTATATTTATAGAGACTGATAGTGTCTGAGTTTTAGGAAGGATTCTCAAAGAATAACTCCCCATATGACTTCAAGCACTTTACTTTCTGTGCTAAGTCTCCTAAATTATAGTTTGCAAAAAGATAATACAAAAGATGGTGTATTG